AGAGATTAAATAACAATTTAGCTTTTTCATTTGTTCATTAATATTATTTTCATTTTTAATTCTCTGTACGGAATATAATCTCTGTAGAGATTTTAACCACTAATAAACATAAAAATTTTTTGTGTGTTTTATGAGTCCGGTAAATATTTTTAGATAAAATACATAACTATATGTATGTGAAAATGATATTTCTTGTTATTAAGTACGTAGGTTCTTTACATATGAGAAAATTCTGGGAATTCTTGAAATTTCACGCAAAATGGGTATATTTTTTAAATCTGCATGTCGTTTGAAATTTATTATAAAAATAATGCCTCACATCCAAGAAATAATTAAAAATTTTCGGTCTCAAAAAGCTTTCTAAGAAGACAGAATTTTTAAAACAACTTTTACCCATTACGAAATTCAAGAACAAGGCGAAAAACGTGGCTCTCATTTAAATGACGTTAAAGTTGACTCTCATTAAATTACTTCTTATACATTAATCAAATTTCAAACTCATTGAATCCAAAAGAGTATAAAACTTAATATTTGTCATCGTTTACGTTATATAATTTAATCCCATATCAATTTTTTTCTATATATTATATAATTTTCCAATTTTGTACAATGAGATTTTTCACAAAAAATTTTATAAGCAAATTTTTTTTATTTAACAAGATTAATCCAATTTTAAATTATAGTGTTAACAAGATTTCACACTAGAGAAGAAAAGTATAAAATCCATTAAAAAGGGATTAAAAGAAATTTAACAGCAACCATAAAAGTAAAAAAGAAAAAAAAACTTGTAATGAAATTGTAATTTGTCATCTTTTAAACTTTCATTTCACCAGGTTGACTTCAATGAAAAGTTTTTCTTCTCTTTTAAAATTATTTTTTTGTTTATAAAAATCTTTCCATTTCCACATTTCTTTTTATACAAATTTTTTGATTAGCATAACTTTTATTTTTTCTTTCATAAAATCTTAAAAATTCCATAAATAAATTTTACAATCTTTTCATATTTCGTTTTCAAAAAGTAAAAATATGAATTTAGCACTCAGATTTTCTTGAATTAACATCAAAATTCTCACATTCTGATTTCTTACTTTTGAATTTAAATTTGTTTTATTCTCTTCTTGTGTCAAATGAAGACTATTCATATGTCGTACATTGGCAGCAACAGTTAGACATTAGTTAAGAAATAGAATTTAAGGGTTTTTATATCGCAGCCAAAAGTGTCAAAATTGGGCCTGGTAGTGTTAAAATTTAATTAACTGCATTGTAACTACGGACAAGCATTTAAAAATGATAACTGTTGTATAACACTTTTCACTATTGTATAACAGTTTTCACAAATGTATAACAGTTTCAATTGATGTGAAACATTTTTTACTATTGTATAACACTTTTCACAAATGTATAACAGTTTTAATTGATATGAAACATTTTTCACTATTGTATAACACTTCATACTATCGTATAAAAGTTTTACACAATTGTATAACACTTTTCATTATTACAAATATAACACATTCCATTAATTCAGCAGTACTGTAATAATGTTAATATTTGTAGAAAAGCATTTTCACATTTTAACACGCCTCATAACAACTCAGAGTTAAATTTAAATTAACTAATTTTTTTTTTATTATGCCGTTTTTTTTTTCAAAATGGAAAATTTATTTAAGAAATCTTATTACAAATTTTAGCAGCTCTCAAAGATCAGAAAGAGTGACCAGAAACACACTTATTTTAAAACTTCTTTTACTTTAAGAATGATTCACTTCCAGTTATTGCATTTTAATTCAAGTAAGACTTAATTACTTTTGAATCAAAAATTTTTAACAGAAAGCAATTTAATTATCTATCTGGTTCCTGCTCTTTCGAAATTAATTGGTAATTAAAACAGGATGATGCAGCTAATCAAAGTGGAGTCCTTATTATTTTATAATTTTTTTTCGAATTTATTAAAAGAAGTATATTTGAAATTACAGAAATCTCTTATAAATATTTGAAAAATTTTTCTTAGTTATTTTTCATAGATAAGTCACAGCACTTACTCTTATTCTTTTACTGAATTTTTTTTTGACGCACAAAATTGCTAATATAAAAAATTTAATAAGAAAAAAAAGTTTTGTTAGACTTTTGTTTTTTCGGAAAATTTTTTTAGGAAAAACTTTTCACCTTTTGGTTTTAATAACATTTTATCTAGAAAGTTTTCTGATGAAAAAAAAAAATTTTTTTAGCACTCTTCTTCTATATTTTTTTTTTCGAAAACAGTTGTATTATATGATGAATTAATTTATATTTATAGCATTTATATTTATACCATTAGCTTTAAGGCGGAAGAGAAGGAAAAAAAAATTGTTACTGAATATAACAGGAATGTAAACAAAAATTGAAATGTTATATTTCAATTTTTGTTGAGAAACCTGGCGGCCGGGCAATTTTGCGGAAGAGTTCATAAAATGTTCATATATTTTGAGTTATTTTGTTTGGTCCGTTTTAAATATTTACTAATTCATTTTCAATATTTTCACGTTCACTACTTTAAAGTAATGTAAAACTTCAAAAACTTTCAAGTAATAATTGCATACTTTCAGGATGAACGCAAATATCAGTAGAAATACTAATAAAAATTTTGTCAAAGCTGTCTAGAATTGAAATTTTGCAAAATTTTAGAAGTGATAAGTCGAAAGGAGAGGAAAATACAATAAGAAGAGGATAGCCCCTTTATCGCAAAATGAAGTTTCTTCTTTATTACTGTATAGCCAAACATACACGATCAGATGTTCTATTAAAAGTGTTTCTCCTTTAATCATTACTTTTCATAATTCTCATATTTTTTTCCTCATATACACTCAAAATTTCTAAATTCAAATTTTTTTTTGGTATGTTAAATAAAGTTTTAAAATTTTTGAAAAATGAGTTCTGCATCACTTTACCACCACAAAACTTTTTACCGTGTTATATATACAAAATATTGTTACTATGTTTGCATGTGGTAATCACATACATAGAAGTAATTATTAAAAATTACACATCTAAAAAAATTATAGCAATTTGAGCAAAAATAGATTTTCATCTTTATTTTCATTTTTCATTTATGAACGTTCAATTTTTTTCCCTCATTTTCTACTCTAATTTATATTTTGTTTCTCTTTATTTTCATTTGAACAAAAGAATATTCTCTGAATAATGTTATTTGATATTATATACATACGTATAAATATGTGAATTGTGAATGTTGAGAGTTTTATAAGCCTTAAGGGAGATCAGTTGTTTTGCTCAAAAGAAAAGGAACAGTAATAACAGAAGAAAATAATATGTATATGTGTGTATTGTGAATAATACAAGAGATTTAATCAGCCTAAAGATATTTGTATGAAATTTTTATAAATAACAGAAAAAAAAGGTTTTCATATTCACTTAATTTTACAATTAATTTTTATTAAAACTGCAAAAATTCAATATGAAATTTTTTTTAATAAAAAATGAGAAATAGTTTTAAAAGAAATTAAAAGTAATATATGTAGGGCTATAAAATGTTTAAGAAAATTTATATTGGATTTTGTAAATTTGAGCACAATAACATCAAAGTACCTTAGAAACAGAGAGGTGACATAAATAGACACTGAAAACAATAATGTTGACAGCTGTCGTTTCACACAAAACAAAATATGTAAAAGAAGACTCACCAATTTAAATAAAATCTCTACTATTGAGTTTTTTTTTAAATTTTCAAATTCTCTCTTAAAATTTACAGAAAGTACTAACAATTGTGCCTATTAATCATTAATGTTATCACATATTGAATTTAATATCTAATTTTCTCGGTTCTTATAAAGTAAATCCCTTTCTGTTTAATTTTACAGTAATGGCAATACGTGTCAAATAAAATCAATATACTATGCGACTTCTTCAGTGTAAGATTGATGAGTATTTGATAATTTAGAAATTATGATGTTCCCAACAGATTTTAATTTCAATACATTGATAACAAAATAAGTATGTACTCCTAACAGATGAATTTAATTATATTAGAAAAAAGAACATACATACCCAAAAAAAAACTTCCAAACAAATTCATATATGTATACACAAATTCATTATATTCATATACCAGCTCTTTCTAAACATCTTCAATGCTTTCTAATTGTAAAGTCTCAAATGTAGGCACAAACAAAATGTAAACCTAAAAATAAAAAATTTTCCTATATTTTTACTTATTCTTCTTATAATTTCGTATTTTTCTTTCTTAAATTGTTCGTTTTCGTGTTTAAAAGTTGTAAATAACATAGCCTTAGGTAATCACGTGTTATTTAACATTTTATTCGTTTATTTGAAGCTTATATATTATAGAATTCCCTCGTCTTATTCATGTATGCATGTAATACTATGCATATGTAGTGTTTGGATTCCAATTCTAGAATAGTACAAAAATTAAAATACTTAACGTTGTTGTATAATGTTGAATTATACACTAATTTTATAACACTATTTGACACTGTTCAACATTTTGTCTTCCGATAGGTATAGTGAAGCAAGTATCCTATGTTTTATATTACTTTTTTCTCTCTAGGTTTTTGGCGAAAGATGATCATTCTGAAATGAGATATGAAAATTAATAGTGGTAGAGCAATTTTAATTAGTAGTTAATTAATGATGATCAATTCAATGATAATCAATTGATATTAATAGGATACCTCTTGTGAAACTTAGAAATATTGGAGTTCCACTTAATTACAGTAATATGGTTTTTAAATCTAAACTAGCTTAAACATGAATTGAAATAAATATTTAAATTTTAGAACTCAAAATACCTACCTTTGACAAAATACCATCAAAATTTAAAATATCAAAATTTCAATTAAGATTTAAAATATCTAAATGTCAAATTTCAATTTCCGAAAAACATTAAAAACAACAAATAAATTTAAAAAAGAAATTGTAAATTTAATTTTCTAATGCTAATTTTATTTTTTACATTTCTCTTAAATTTATTCCAGTAACAACAACAACAGCTACAATAACAACAAACCAAATAAGAAGAAATAAAACATTCAACAGTCTTAACAAAAAAAAAAAACAAAACGAGAGAGCAAAAAAAAATAAAAATTTGAAATGTAATGGAAAGTTGAATGGAGGCAGATTCAGTTAACAACAAACGAGTGAAATTCATGTAAGATTACCGTTATGTAAAATATAACATGAAAAATTTTGTACACTTTTAATTATTTTATACATGCACATCATTATTATAATCCTTATTATCATTATGAATTGAAGTACATACATACATGTAATTAGGATCTCATTACTTATTAAAGACAAAATATTATGTAAGAATTATTAAGTAAACACAAACAAACAATTTTACTTTTTCTCCGAAGCTCTTATTTATTAAAATACAAATTACTTAAGGGTTACATTTTTATCCTTCTATATACTTGCATATTTAAGGTACGAAAATTTATTACAACACAATATGCAAAAAATTTTATTTTTTAATTTAAAAACTGAAGTCAACCGTGAAATTGATTTTAATCGTTTAAATGTGCCGTGCCGGGTGTATTTTGTTTTATTAAGCTGTAAACATAAATTGATGTTTACTTAATAATTATAATACCTCAACGGAATATCCTCTGAATTATTCTAATATGATACTAAAGTATTCAAAATATTATTTATTAAAATTTTGGGTTAAATTGAAGATATTATTGGTGATTATATAATTTACAGAACCGATTAAAAATAATTACTTTTTTTTGGATTAAAATCAATGGTACCGCAATTATAATTCAATGCAGTCTTTATGCTTCCTGTGAATTGTATGGGTATGGAGGGGGGGGGGGAGGGGGGAATGCTCCATCTTCCAGGGATATATTTTTGGCAAAAAAATTGGATTGAAAAAATTCTATCCGACGTATATCCTTTATAGCCTCGAAGCTATAGCAAAGTTATGTTCGGAAAATTTTTTGTGAATTGATAGACCTATATAATGGTATGCCGATGGTTGATGTCAGACTTCAGTAATAGCTGGACAGACACAAAATTCAAAAACTGCAAATTTTTTAAAAAACTCCAATTATTTCAAAAAAGTTATTTTTTCTTTCTCGTTATCATCCTCTACAAATTTTGCTATACATAACTTTCATGGCACGCCTGTCGTTTTGCAGGCAAATTAAAGATAGGAGTTTGTACATATATGATTTTTCAGTGAAATTCATATGATATGGTATTTTTCACCTTTTAATTATTAAATTTTTTACGATATAAGAAATTATTAAAATAATTTCCATTTTTAAATATTGCAGTCTAATTCTATTGGTTAAAACACTTAAATAACTCCTTGCAAATTATCATATAATTGACAGACACTATGATTTGTTATATGACTTCTCAGTCTCAAAATTTTCATCTTGTGAATTCATTAAAAATTTCTTCTTGACAATTTTACCATTTTGTGTTTCCTGAAAATTTATTTGCATATTATGTAAATTTTATCCCAAAAACAAATTTACTCTTAAAACCATCGAGTTATTAAAAAAATTCCATAAAAATCAGAAAATTATTATAGAATTTAAAAATAATAAAAAAAAGGGAGAAGAAAATAATGTTCATCTGCTTTATTCCGCATATCATCAATATATTATAGCCAAAAAAAATGGCCCTAAAACAAATCACAAGAATAAATTTTGAATTTTAGCTGAAATCAGCAAAACGAAAGAAATATTTTGTTTAGAATCTTAAAATTTTATTGTTATTCTACAATAATATATACTTAAAATTATAATAAACCTTTCGGCTTTCTTGTGATTTAAAAATTATTTAATTTGGACCTTTAAAATTTTACTGTCAATAAATTTTACACTTCCATCCTTTCCAACCAAAAAAAAAATGTTCTCCTTTACTCTCAAAGAGCAAAAGTGGAAACAAGAGAATAAAATAAATTCGTTTTGACAGTAAAAAAGAAACTGTCACAAAAGTTCACAACCACATTTGAATTTATATTTAAAAAATTTCTTAATTTATTATTAAAAATTTTTTAACATAACCTTAAAATAAAATTTTATTTTAACAACCTATAATATAAGAATTGAATTTAATCATTTTCGCATTATGCTTTTAAAATAAAATATGATTTGCTCTATCTATGTGTCTTTTCACGACGCATTAGTAGATAAATTGTTTCTAAGTACAGTATATTTCTCACTTATTAGAAGACTCTCTTATAAGTGCGTGCAAATATTATTTATTTATTTAATTACTTCAAGTACAGCCAGCACTAGAAGTAGAATTTAAGAAGTACAAGATTTTAATGTTTCTAGCCAAATTTTGTTGATCATTTCGGAACATAGTACATAGATGACGTATTTGAAAAAACAAAATATATCACTTAATTGGGAGTCTGTAACGGGCATTGTTATAGTAATAAGTATTGCCGTTAACTGAACAAGTGTACTCTTGTGTCTTACTGCAGAAATTTTGAAAAAATGACACGCAATTACTTTATTGCGGACACTAATTTTACTGATCATTAACCTACTTCAAAATGTTTTAAATTTTGAAACTAACAAAAAGTTAGTGATTTCTCAATTCACTAAAAACCAAATATCACAACCTTGACACATATTGGTTAATGTTATTAAAAATCTAGTTTCTGAATTATTCTGATTCTATTTAAAGGTGAAAGAAGGCCGGAAGTACTGCGATAACGCATAATCAGCAGGCATGCATAACATATATCTTCTCCTGCCTTTAAAATTTAAAAAATAAAACACAAGACTTTTACAATTCTTTCTGAAATTTAGAAAAAAAGATTATAAAATTTTGACTCCACATAAGATCAGAGCAAATGATTATTTCAATAAACATCAAAAGCAGAATGAAAATAAACAAAAAAAATAATAAAATGAACACTTGGAATTCCTTTTTATATCGCACATCCTTAACTGTTATTATCAAAGTGTTTTGAAGATTTAAACACAAGAGCAAATTATTTTATTTTTTTCCATAAAAAAAAAAAAAACAAAAAAATCATGAATATGTGCCAGTACAATCCTTGAGCATTCCGCAAATGTTTCAATTAAAAAAATTTCTTTAATTGCATACCGTTTGACATATAATTTAAGGAGGGAAATGTGGTATTTGGAGGAGAAAAGAGACTGAGAGTAACGGAATTCTCTAAGAAGAATTTCTTTTGATTTTTGTTTTGATTTGGATTTAATTTTGTAGCTTTTCCTTAAATCAACTTTATGTTCAACCGACTATTAAAAAAACCAGGAACATCAAATGAAAATATACGTAACGACATTCCGTCATTCTTTCAATGTAGAAAGTAATTCAATTGGATTTCAAAGGAATAATTTGCAGGATCACAAAATATATGACGAAAATAAATAAACAAAATTGAATTTATGTGATGGCAAAAGTTTAAAATTTTTTAAAGGATTTTGGTTGCATTTTTTGATAATTTCCTTTTTACAAAAAAAGTCTGAAATTTAAGCTTCCGAGAAAATATGAGCAAAATTCTTCATATCCTTTGTATTAATGCAAATTGTAAATGAACAATAGAGAAAAATTTCTTTAAATGCGACTGCTTTGTAGATATGCAAAACGTTAGTACAGAGGACTCAAAAAAATTTTACTTTCTCTCAGTTGACTTAAATCAGTCACCGATCAACCGTTCTGTAGTTAAACACGCAACCGACTAAGGTATTGACGTATTGAGAAACTATCATCTCTTGTCTTTATACGTTTACGATGTAAAGAAAAAAATTGATAATTGAAAATAAATTTATCATGTATGACCTTTATTAATGGCATACAATTACAAAATTAAATTGCCTTGCAATATTAAGAAACAAATTAAAAATTACACTTCATTAATTTCTAATTACCACTTTTTGTACAAATCTCAACTCCGAAATGAAATATAATTAATTAATTAACTTGTGATATGATGCCCCTTATTTAATATGTCAAATGCATTTAATTTTCTACATTATTGCTAAATTGCAATTTTTGAAAATTATTCCAACATGTTATACTTGGTCTTCACAATGTTTATGTTAATTGTTCTTTGAAATTGTTTGAGAACGACAATTAAGTGTGGTCGAATTATAAAACTTAAAAAGTTTATTGGCAACAATTTTCACATATGGTGCATTAGATTTTTTAGACTGTATGAGTATAAAAAATTTAGAATTACTTTAAAAAGTGAAAATCTATTAAAAAACTTTATTTAATAAAATTGAAATCAACTCCTAATCTTAATCTGCACTATCCTCTCCAAATCCGTTTCCATCATATTAACGCCATTCGATTTGTGATGAAATGAAAGAATAAACACAAGCAGATAAATGGTTTTTGTTACAATTAAAGATCCTTTTCAAAACCTCGATTTGAAAAATTTTTATTGTAATCGAATTTTAAGGTCATCAATTAAAATCATTTGTCTATCATTTGGGAATCGTCTATAATTGTGATTATTTTATAATGGCAATTATTTATTACACATAAAAAACATCTATGACAATAATTATTAATGTTATAAGAATAATAATGAATGAAAGGATTAAGGACAATAGAATATAATCAATTCATATAATGTTATCAACATTTTTAATGTTATAAATTGTCCTTGAACTCTTCATGTCCTTTAATAAATTTATAAAATTATTTTATTCCATTTTCGTATTGTTGTAATGATGAGTATGGGATTTTCAGAATGGATTTAATTCATTCTCATCCTAATATTAAATTACCAGCTCAATGTGTATGTATGTGTAGTATGATAATTTACAAAATCATACAATGATAATTAAATATTTTCTTTGTTGCCTTCTACCTGGAATTAAGGGCATATGTTAATACCATTTGTATGTTCACATCATAAACTCTTAAATGGTTTAACCCATATTTTCTTTATTAGCATAAAATGGTTTTCTGTTAATATCGTCTATAAATAATGTTTTATGAAATAGAAAACGATTTTTTTTTTAAAATCAAAATTTGCATATTTTCGCATAAAAACAGTGTCTGGATGGTAAAATCATTAATTTTTGAATAATCTAAATTAACACTGAAAAAAAAAGTGTAAAATTTTAGAAAATCAAACAATTCGCTATTGAATATGCGGAGTTGATTCTATACTCGTTCGTCGAGAAAAATTACTCA